CCTCCAGGCTGACAGAAGTATTCACCGTTGAAGACAGGGAAACATAAAAGCACTATGGTAAAGCCACAGGTTTAAATGGACTCAAATCTATTTGCAAGTGCAGAATTTGGTTATCATTTGTTCGTAAGCTGTTAAAGAAAATGAAGAAACTTGAAGAAAAAGCAACTGTCAGTGTAGTTGTTTGTCTTCAAAACAAGGTAAAATTGTTTAAATGCTCCAAAATACTATCAGTTTATGAGTGTTTACAGCATTCATGTAACAAAGGGCAGATTTTCTTATTTTGATTGTGTTGATTTCACTATTGTTATTGGATGTTATTATACTGCCAGCACCAAGTAAATATTCAATTCTCTTAAAATTTGACAATTTGATAATGGAGTTCTTTATAGTGTAAGTGCCCATAATTTCATGCAAGGCTATCCTAGGCTCTGCCACAAAACAAACAAACAAAAACTAAACAACTTTGCATGGAAACAAGTAAAACATCAAAACCAAACAGACTGTGGGCAGATACTAAGACAGATCACTCCTAAGATAAAATCCAGGATAGATGAATTAACTGAGTATAAAATATTCCAAATATTCTAAATAAGAATATTCTAAAATATTCTTCTGTGCCAGCTCTCCCTAACAATGTGATAAAACAATAACAGCAAACAGCGAGGTACAAGTCTTGCTTGGTTTTCAGGTATGCTCCTGGGACAGCACAGAAGAACTCCTTGGTCCTGTAAAAAATTCAGAGCTCTGCAATAGCTATCAATGAGAAGATGAGATATCATCTTTCCTGTTTATTTGCCACATAGATGCAATCTAAACATTCCTATAAAAAGAATATAGTTTGCCATCAAAATGTTCTTTTTTTAGGAGTCCAGCCTGCGTTGTTTCAGCAAAACTCTCAGAAAAAATATTTCTTTAATGCTTTCCTTTCCAGTAAGAGAACTCACACCATCAGTAATAATAACGCCTTTATATTTCACTACATAAATATGTATTTGAAGGTTTTAAAATATACAATTTGATCTAATCATTAAGAAACTGAAAATCCATTACTGTTCATTTTAGAATCAACACAATTTGAAAATCGATACTGCATATATTAAAAGTAACAGGTACCAATTTATGTTCAAATAACAAAGCCTCAGCACTTCGTGACTGGAACACAATCCATTCATTTGCCAACATTCATTCTACAGAAATTAATCATAAAATCTACATGTAATTTTTCTTTTCATTACTCTTTCATGCAAATTTACATCACAATAATCAACCTGAGTTATAAAGAAAAGGACTGCACTTCTAGCAAAGACGTCAATATCTAAGGATTTGAAATAATGAAATCAAGTAGGAGCATGCAACATTTATATGCAACCTGGTAAACATTTTATTAAGTTTCTATTCAAGAATCTTTCTTAATTAGGGAATAAAACTTCAATCCACTTGAACTGAAAATCTGAGAAGTTCACAGCAGTTTCTTGCATATCGAAAATTTCTAGAACGGTAAAACATGCTAGAACAACCAGACAGAATTGTTTTCTAACATTTTCATCACTGTATGTATCGAAACAACATTGTTAATTTATTCAGATGCTGGATGGTACTTTCATGCATAATTACCAAAAGACACAAATCTGTTGTGCTCTTTTGTTAGTCTGCCCTCGGAAAGAAAATGTTTTCTAATGAATACTTTCAGAGTGTGTGGATAATCACAAATTTTAAAAGACTAACTAAAATACAAATACTGTGATTAAAACACTATTTTAATGTCCTTAGTAGTTCCCCCTTTCTATTTAGCGATATTCTGGGGATGCATGGTAGTTCCCCCTTTCTATTTAAGGATATTCTGGGGATGCATGGCCCGATTTCAGTTTCTTCTGCACTACAGAGGACTTCTGGCATAGCAAAGTTGTTTAAGGATGTGACAACATGTAAATGGTAACACTACTGATGCAAAAGTTCTTTTTAAGGACAGGGCTATATAGGGAAACAGGCATTTTAGCATGTATAAGATATCTGATAAATGATGTGCTCCCCAAACAAGAGTGACTTGGCTTCAGTGGGTTTTCACTGCTTGATTCCAACGCCAGGTCCTTGCAAATGGTGAGTGGTACATTTGCAAAATCTGAGCATTACCTAACRAGCTCATCTAGTCCCTATTAAACAAGCAGACGCTGAAATAAATTCAGTCTTCTATTATAACCACCAAAAATACTGCAGTGGAAAAAACCTTCATTAGAACACAACTCAACTCGTTAGCAAAATGCTTCTATCTGTAGCAACAGAAGGTATTAGAGGTCTATCCATAAAACATGACTAGCACAGAAAGACAAAACCAACACTTGTCTCTGTCACCTATGTTGTGATTTTCAGCACTGACACCCTACAAAGGGATGCTCTCTTGCATTAGCTTCTCTGTTCAACCTTCCTTCATAGTATATAAGTGTAATTTGGAAGCTTCAAACCAAAATACGTTTTTCTTACCAAATGCTATTTTCCTTCATCATATACTCAGACAGAATGGTTCTTCGTGAACACTCAGCTGCTAAGAAAAAAGAGAGAGTGCATATCAAATTTTCATTCTGTCCACTTTGACAAGGGCTCTTTTCCTGTTAAGACTTAAGAGGAAACGAGGATATTAACTTTTAACATATAGGTGCTATCATGCTGGGCAGGCTTACAATGCTCTTTTTATGGATTTCTTGGGAAAGTGAGATGAACAAAAACCTATGTTGGTCTGCAAAGCACAGTACACATCACAGGGAATGTGCTGGCAGAAAAAATGAGATGTTGGCATCTTAGCACAGCGGGATGTGGAATATTTTTGCCATGTCTGTGTTGAGTGACATCTCGGGCAACAAGCAAATACGGGTCGGAGCAGACAGCTTCAGCAGCCAGCGCRTCACTGTGGATTGACGCTGGTGCTTAAAGGGTAAAATACCCCAACTGGGAAGATTTAAAGTAGCCGTGCAAAACTTCCAATTACATTTTGGATTTCAAAGTTACTGGCAATATTAGGGACAGCTAGGCATAAAAAATGTTTGGCAGCTAATATACAGCTACTTCAGGTGAAGAAAAATTCAGGGGATTCTGTGTTTCTTAGCTGTCAATGTCTGCTTATCCGGAATGTTTAAGAAAATACATTAAAATCATTTCAGTTCCTTGTGCTAGTCTCAGACAGTGTCAAGCTTACTGCATCTAAAACTGATTTTAAAGGGGCAGCTGAGCCTTGGAGGATCCATGTGTTCTGCTTCTTAGGTGCTTAGCTTTCCCTGAAGATTTGCACACTACTTTAATCCAGATGTTTTCTACAAATCATCAGTGACCATCTTGTCATGTATAACTTTTGGAGTTTTATGTATACAAAACACATTTTAGAACCATTTAATACTGCATGCGTTTTTATTGAAAACTGGATGAATAAAACACCCTGGCTAATTAAGCTACTCTGGAAATAGTAATCGAGTGGAATTCTAGTTGTCAAAGCAGAAAAAGGGTGCAGATATGCTTCAGAATAAGTCTGTCACTAGGATATCTTAATGTACACTTTCTAAACAAATTCTGAAGCACTTTTAGAGCTTCTTTTTATATGCCGTTGTGTATCACTGTAGCTATTTCATAGCAGGAAAGGAAGACAAATTCCAAGCATTGGTTATAGCAGGGGATTTAAGATCAAATGCATTGTACAAAACACCAAAGCATTCACTGCTGGTCAAGCACTGCAGGTGAACATCGTCTAACACAACACTGACACATGCTAATTGCAACACCCTAATAAATACACAGCTAAGCAAATGGCAGAAGTTATTTTGAAGTAGTGGTCACCAGCTCTGTCTTAAATTTCTATTACAGTGACTTTTATTACACAAAAAAAAAGATTATCCTTAGAATAATGGGCATAGTAAAATAGTCACACTTGCTCACTAAACAAAGAGGGATTTACTTTCATTGGTGATGGACTATGACTAATGTCGTTGCCTGATCTTATACACTTCTGTAAATTATGTCTGTTGCATAATACATTATATTTAAAGTCTCACTGTATTTACTTAAAAGTATCTATTAACACAAAYCAAGAAATTGTCCAAGAAATGGCTTAGCCTGTACATATGTAACGTATTGCATTAGAGAAGCATCTTCAGCAAGGACGAGGCTCTTTTCTCATCACTGTATAAATAAATGTGAAGGGATCATTGTACCAAAGGAGCAGCACATCACAGCACATTACACAGCTACTGCAAATTCTATCATCTTGTTACAGAAACTATGTCATGGAGACTAAATACGAGGAGTTTGCATAGTTGCTCATTATAGCTATTCATACTGGAGCTTATACTATTCTTAAAATATATGCAGCTAACATTCAGGCCAGCGAACTGTTTTCTCAAAAATCCACAAACTTAAATTCATATGTTATTATCTGGGTATTCCCCATACATTTAGATTACAGCAGGAGAAATAAATTATCACGCAGCTTACATTAACTGTAAGTATACTGATTTATCAAAAGATTGCTTCTATTCTTTAAACTTTTGAGAGTAGATATACAAAAATACATTAAAAAATAAGCACTGCTATTGAGTAAAGCCAATTTAAAGCAATAAAAAATAGTCTGAACCRGCATGTGTTACTTGTTTTGACAATACCTGTAGTTACGAGAGAAAAATGCATAGGAGTTAGCTTGATGCCCAAATTACTAATAATGTAAATTACTTCTTCTGATACTTAAGTTGATTTTATATTTATGGGCTCTTAGCAAGGGAACGTACCTATAAGGAAACCATCACTCTTAGAAGCGAAGGGAATCAGCCGRTAAGTCACAAAACCATAAAGTGCTTAAGAGCTTCAAGTAACAGCACTCACAGAGAGAGCACCACTGAAAAACTGATACAGTAAATACAGAAAGGTAATATAAATTGGTATGGATTCAGGAATCTATAGGTGTACTAGAGAAAAATGCATTAATTATTGGCCRGCATTGGAAGGTCCTCATTAACCTTTCAATGTGTCACCTGAATCACATACTAAATGATGCAGCTTTGACATTTTCCTTTACATGCTCTACATACTTAAACAAAAACGCATTTGCAAATAAGTAGTAAGCGTGACTGCATATATAGTACTTAGACTTGCCAGTAGTTTTAAGATAAATGGTTAAAAAAAAAGTTTCAATACTCCAGTACATTAGTACAAAATGGCACAAGCACTGAGAGCTTCATACAAACCAGCTAGTACTTAATTTAATAAGCCAAATTGTGTATCCTTTTACAAGTCTGGAGCTCTCTGACTACAGGACTGAGCTGCATTTAATTTAATTCAAGCCCTGAAAGTATGCATTTCGTAATAAATAATTCTATTGAGGCATAATTTTCTGTATTATGAACTCAGCAATTAAATTTGCATTTTTTAAAGTTTGGTAGAGGAGACTAGCAAATCCAATTAGCTTGTAATTTTTTCAATAATGTTGGCTAGCATTTCTCTTGGAAGTTTTGAGAGAGCTCACTGGGGTTTWGTGCTAACTGAAACCGTGCTCTCATTGTCAAGCAATGTGACTCTGATAGTGGATTTCACAAGACTCAAACATTCATGCCTAAGCTATACACTTCTTAAATTTTTAATTTGAATTACCACTGTAGGGCTACTACTTAAGAGACTGTAGAGCTATTCACATCAGATATCCAAACACATTTCATTAAGCAGCAAACTTCAGTGCAACAGTTCTTGTAAGACTGTTTATTGAACAGTTCAAACTGAGTTTAGGTGCACTTTTTACATATATATATAAAAAAAAACATTCTCTTTTCACGTAAACTGCAATCAAAAAATAACTTTACAAAACAATAAGAGACTTACTGAGATTGTAAGTTTCCTAACATGTAAAACTAGGAGGCATTTGTGCATGCTATTTTATTTCCTTCTAACAGGAAACTTGCTTAGTTCCTTTGCTTTGTTCCTTCACCTGAGGGCAGTCTACGAAACAGAGTTGTTGTGTTCAGGACATAACAAGACCAAAACTGGTACYGACGAAGGTAATGTCCTTTTCCCAAAAAAAGTTGAGGCAGCTTTTGTTGAATGGTATCTGTACCGGGATGTCTTAGAAACTCTGGCGGCTCTATGGCAGCAGGGAGGGAATCCCGTTGCATCTTCTGAGACTCGGAAAAACTTTCCCAACGAGTCCTGGCAGCAAGTTCCACCGGGAACAGGAGAGGAGAAGCAGCAGCACGTTTCCTACACGGAGCCCACCGCGCTGCTCGGCGTCTTGACACGAAACAGCGACAAACGTGGCATGAGGAGGCCTGTGCTGCCCTCATGCCACACACACGTCTCGGGCTGCTCTGGGGAAGGGCAGGCACGCACGAGGGCAAAGCTTCAGTCTCGGTTCGTGCAGAGCTGCCACGCGGCGCCTCGCTCGCGACGTCAGACGTCGGAGTTGGAGCTGAGGTTCGTGAGGCGCGGGTCGGCGTTGATCTCGTAGCGGTAGTGATAGCCCTCCATGTGATCCCTGCAGGCATCTCTGATGTTGTGCATCCACTTTTTGATCCCCTTGCGGTTCAAGTACAAAACCAAGAGGAAAATGGCCCCGATGAGAGCCAGGACTATCCCTAAGAAGACGTACGAAGTCTGTAGCTGGGAGGGCAGGTCTACGGGCACGGAGCAGTTGAGGTCCGAGGCGTTGATCTTGAGCAAGGCTTTGCCCGCCATCTTCTCGGGGTAGGCGCACACGAGGGCCTCCTTGCCCTCCACCTGCTCGCTCTCCTTGAGCCAGCTCACGAGGTCCTCGATGGCGCAGTCGCAGACCCACGCGTTGCGGCGCAGGTCGACGCGGCGCAGGGCGGGCAGGCCGCGCAGCTGGGCCAGCGTGCCGTTGCGCAGCGCGCTCAGTGAGTTGTCGCTGAGGTCGAGGCTCTGCAGGCGYGCCAGCCCGCCCAGCGACACGTTGCGCAGCCCCACGAGCGAGTTGTTGCTGAGGTCCAGGTGCCGCAGGGCGGGCAGCGCGGCGAACATGCCGGCGGGCAGCAGCAGCAGCCCGTTGCCCGCCAGCTCCAGGCGGCTGAGGTTGCGCAGCGCGCCCGCCTGCAGCAGCGCGGCCAGCCCCAGCAGCGCGCTCTGGTTGCGCAGCGCGCCGCGCAGCGCCAGCTCCTCGAGCGCGCCGCCCGCCTCGCCGAAGGCGCGCGGGCTGAGCGACGCCAGC